AAGATGATGAACATTTCTTTAAGTGTCTATCAGCCATTTGAGTTTCCTATATTGAGAATTCTCTGTTTAGAGCTGTACTCCATTTTTAATTAGGTTATTGTTTTTTTAGTTCTTTATAAAATTTGTATATTAGCTCTCTATCAGATATGTAGTTAGTAAAAGTATTTTCTCATTCTGTCCAAATGATGGTGCCCTTTGCCAGAAGCTTCTCAGTTTCATGAGGTCCCATTTATTAATTGATCTTAGTGCCTGTTCTATCCATGTTCTGTTCCAAAAGTCTTTCCCTGTGGCAGTGAGTTCAAGGCTATTATCTACTTTCTCCTCTATCAGGTTCAGTATACCTGATTTTATGTTGAGGCCTTTGATCCATCTGGAGTTGGGTTTTGTGCAGGATGATAAGTATGAATCTATTTGGATTTTTCCATATGCAGCCATCCAGTTTGACAAGCACCATTTGTTGAAGGAACTATCTTTTTTTCCAGTGTGTTTTTGTCTTCTTTATGAAAAAAATCAGGTATTCATAGGTGTGTGAATTTATGTCTTGGTTTTCAATTTGATCCCATGATCAAAGTGTCTGTTTTTATGCCAATATCATGATGTTTTTATTACTAGGGCTCTGTAGTACAGTTTGAGGTCAGGGATGGTGATGTCTCCAACAGTTTAGTTATTATCATTCAGGATTGTTTTAGTTATTCTAGGTTTATTGTGTTTCCAGGTAACACTGAAAATTGTCCTCTCAAGATCTGTGAAGACTTGTGTTAGGATTTTGATTGCTTTGTATCTGTAGGTTGCTTTTGGAAGGATGACCAATTTTACTATATTAATCCTACCTATCTATGATCATGAGAGATCTTTCCATGTTCTGATATCTTCTTCAATTTCTTTCTTTAATGACTTGAAGTTTTTATCATCCAAGCCTTTCACATGCTTGCTTAGAGTTACCCAGAGGTATTTTTATATTATTTGAGGCTATTTTGAAATTCCCTGATTGCTTTCTTAGTCCACTTGTCATTTGCATATTTACTTTTATGAGTTAATTTTGTATCCAGCTGCTTTGCTGAACGTGTTTATCAGCTGTAGGAGCTTCACAGTGATATTTTTTAGGGTCACTTATTTGTATCACCATATCATCTGCAAATAAAGATACTTTGGTTTCTTCCTTTCCAATTTGTATCCCCTTGATCTCTTTTAGTTGTCTTATTGCTCTAGCTAAGATTCAAGTACTATATTGAATTGGTATGGAGAAAGTGATCAACTTTGTCTTGGTGCTGCTTTTAGTGGAATTGCTTTGAGTTTCTTGCCATTGCTTTTAAACTGTCTCTGGGCATGCTGTAAACTGTGTTTGTTATGTTGAGGTATGTCTCTAGTATCACTAATCTCTCCAGGACTTTTATTATGAAGGGGGTATTGGATTTTCTCAAAGTCCTTTTTGCATCTAATGAGAAAATTATGTGGTTTTTGTCTTTCAGTTTGTTTATGTGGTAGATTTCATTGACAGATTTTTGTATGTTGGACCATCCCTGCATCTCTGGAATGAAGCCTATTTGATCATGGCGGATGATCTTTTTTGATATATTCTTGGAATTGGTTTGCAAGCATCTTTGCATGTATGTTCATGAGGGAATTTGGTCTGCAATTCTTTTTGTTGGGTCTCTATGTGGTTTGGATATCAGGGTAAGGCTTCATAAGTCAATTGAGCAATGTTCTTTCTGTTTCTGTTCTGTGAAATAATTTAAGGAGTATTGACCTCAGCTCAGCTCTTCTCTGAAAGTTTAGTAGAATTCTGCACTAAACCCATTTGACTCTGGGCTTCTCTCTCTCTCTCTCTCTCTCTCTCTCTCTCTCTCTCTCTCTCTCTCTCTCTCTCTTAGTTGGTGGACTTTTAATGACTATTTCTATTTCACTGAGGCTTATAGGTCTGTTTAAATTGCTTATCTGATCTTGATTTAACTTTGGTAAGTGATATGTATCAAGAAAATTATCCATTTCTTTTCTATTTGCCAATTTGGGGGTGTACAGGTTTTTAAAGTGCACCTTTTATAATTCTCTGGATTTTCTCAGTGTTTGTGGTTATGTCCTCCTGTTCATTCTAATTTTGTTATTTGGCTATTCTCTCTATGACTTTTAGTTAATTTGGATAAGGGTTTGCCAGTCTTATTGATTTTTCTCATAAAACCAACTCTGTGTTTCATTAATTCTTTGTATTTTTTTGGTTTCTATTTTATTGAGTTCAGTCCTGAGTTTTGTGTTTCTTTATTTTAATTGTACAGCAGAACTTCTTCATTAGACCCTTTTCTAGACTCTCCTTACCTAAGCTGATTTCCAATCTTTTCTAATTCTAATCTCCCATGCCTAGACTATATGCTGTCATTGTTGTTTCATGTAGGGTTAACCAAATGGTTGTAACTTTTGAATTAACAATAGGGGACACTTAGTTCTTTAGTTTTCTCTTCTATTATTGAAAAGTTCTGGAAGAGTTTGAATTAATCTTTATTTGTTTTGGAGAGGAGAGGGGATTTGGGACAGGTCTCCCAAATTGGTCTCAAACTTGAATTCTCCTTGCCTCAACCTGCCAAATGTTAGGGTTATAGGCATGTACCTAACCCCAAACAAGTACATGAGAAAGCCTGCCAATCTTTTGCTAAGTTACAAAAGAGTAAAATAAAATCTAAGAAGAAATATGTAATTCAGCAAAAATATTAGAACTTCATCAAATGAAAAATAACATTAAAAATAAGTTGAGTGAGACATGGTTGGAGGTTTAAATGACAAGTATAATGGGAAAGATGGATTTTATATACCACTATAATAAACTATGGACTAAGCCTATGCAGTGATTAGATTATCTTAGCAATACTGCCTAGTGTTCTACCTCAGCCAGGTAGCTGTTAGAACCCCTAAGAGGACCCTAACATGAAAGACTAATTTCTTACATGAAGGATTCAGGCCATGATTGAAGGAGCTCTGAACCCTACATGTGACTGCATACATGTTTTACCACCTTGGAAAACCTAGACTATGATGGTTAGCAGAACTCTTGAAATAAACCACTAATCAGTCAAAACAAGGCATGAGAAAACACCCTTTCAGTCCTAGTCATGTAAATCTATAGCTTCTCCATCTAATCAGCTTGTGATCCTCCAGGATTCATTCTGGTCATCATAAAATGAATGTAATAAATATGTGACTCCCCTAGAACAAGCTATAATCTGTATAGCTGGTTATAAACTCAGCCTTGTTTGTGCATCTTTGGTAAGATTTCTCTCTCTCTCTCTCTCTCTCTCTCTCTCTCTCTCTCTCTCACGCACATACACTTCTGGGTTAGAGGCTTGGAAGAATATATAATTTAAGATTAACATTATACATTAGCTTAGTTTGAAAAGCTGATTGCATGGAAAATCCATGTCATAGTAAGGTTTGTTACATTGTTCTCTTAAAGTCGTGTTAAACTTATGCTGAATACACAATAGGACAACATATTGGATATACAGTCTTAAATAATCTAAAGATATATTATTAACTTGGTTGCAAGGTCTACAAAAAGTTTCCTCTACACACATACACACAGAGAATAGATAGATAGATAGATAGATAGATAGATAGATAGATAGATACATGGATGGATGGATGGATGGATGGATGGATGGATGGATGTTCCTAGTACCTACCACCAAATATTCCTCTTAGAACAGTGACTTGAATGAGTTAAGGACAGAGGAATCTTTTAAAACTAAGGAGGGAAATGTCTTTCCACTCTTTGGAGCCATGGGCTAAGAGGATTATTAGAGAGCCAGAAGAGCTTCCAAGTGAACCCAGTACAATTAAGAGGAAGAGTGGCTGTTAGGGCCTACTCTCTGAGGGAACAAATCCTATGGAGACATAGCCTGGTAATTAGTAAAAGTGGAAAGTTAGCAACAGTCAACCTTCGGCCTGAATTCTAGGTCTGTATAATATGCAGGCTAAAAGGAGATGGAGAGTTCTTTTGTGTGTTATCTAAATAAATGCAGACATTTTCCCTCCAGTAATACTTTCACATCCTACTTCATCCATTCTGTACACCCCCAAACCCTATATGCTTGCAGGGATCTCTGCACTTAAATACTTGTCTTTCCCACTAGGATTAGGAGTCTGAAGATGGTCAGGGATGATACTTGCTTCATCTGACAACAGTATGACATAAAGAAGGCCTCCCTGACCCCCTGCCAAAGATTCAGAATGCTTGTTGAGCCCTGGAAGAATTAAAGACTGAAAAAATATTTCATTATGGCATAAATTTCAAGTGGTTAGATATCCATAGCTATGTACAATATAGTCAACCCTCCATATACATGGGTTCCAAACTCTGTGAGTTTGAGGCTAGCCTGGTCCATAGAGTGAGTTCCGGGACAGGCTCCAAAGCCACAGAGAAACCCTGTTTCAAAAAAAAAAAAATATGCATCTGTACTAAATATCTATGGAATTTTTCCTTGACATGTTTCCCTAAACACTACAGTCTAATCAGTCTAATCAGTATTTAAATGGAATTTAAATTCATTTGAGTGTTGTGTTTAATTTAGAGATGATGTGAAGTTTGAAGAAGGGTTACATGGATTACATGAAAATACTACATTATGTTATCTAAGAGTTTCATGAATTCAGTATCCATGGAGACCTGAAACCAAACCCCACAGATAGAGAGTATATACTCTCTCTATACACACACACACACACACACACACACACACACACACACACACAAATTCCTCTTAACAGGCTCACCATTTATTGTAGTTTGTAGTACATCCGGTTTGCACATGATGATTTTGTGAGGCGTTGCAGTTAGCAGACTCATTCTTACACAAAGTCCTTTAAATCCTGGGACTCTGCCTTGCTCAGCTTCCCCAGCCCACACAGCTGGAGCATTGTACTTCTGTGTAATGGAAGCTTAGTGATGGTTAGTAACTTAAATTTACCGGACAACTGTGTTGGAAAGAACTTCACTTTTTTCTCTCATAACACAGTCAACACAGAAGATTTCTGTGTTGCTAAACAATGTGGAGCTTTCACCTCAGCAGGCAGAAGACCATCCAGAGCAGCAGACACCAGCTCAGAGTCCGTTCACCCATTTAGTTCTTATATTGCCTCCCACACCTGGACAGTAATGGGCCCAGAAGCTGAAGGCTCAGCTTAACTGTCCCATGTAAAGGCAATCACAAGTCCAGGCCTCTGGAACTTCTGATGACCTAAAAATTGTTTTTTGTTGTTTCTGTTTCTGTTTTGTTTTGTTTTGTTTTTAGTGAGAATCCCCCAACACATACACACAGTGTTGATTACTTTGTTAGAACATCACAGCTCATAAAAACATCATACTTGCATTACTGCTTAATATAAAGAATATTTAAATTATATAAATAAGAGCCATAAAACCACGCACGCACGCGTGCGCACGCACACACACACACACGGTCTAGAAGGACCATGAGAATAGGAACACCAACCCTGTGGAATTGAGCTATACCACCTCCCTAATCCATGAATGAGTCATTGTTCACCTTCCTCTGGCCTCTACAGCTTCCACAAGCTCTGAGCCCTGTTCCATGGGATTTTATGGAAACTTACTCCATGTGCATGATTACTACTAGACTGGATGCAGAACCCAACAAAGCCTGTCTGGGCTCTTCTTAGTCTCTCTGTGCAGGATTCTTGCCTCCTGTATCTGGGGAAGGCCAACTCCAGAATAAAGAAGGTTTTATTATTTATCACCTTAAAAGGGAGTCAGGGAATTTCTTTATGGACAGCCCTAAAATCAAAAGGTAGGAGATGGTTAATTTCATGACCTATATTAGAAAAGAAAATGGTAATACTGTAACCCACCTCAGGAAGGGAACTAGGAGCCAGGAGCCATAGTAAAAACACAGACACTGACGGTGATACTGGGGACTGAACTCAGTGCCTCATGCACGGTGGGCAGATAGCTAGCTGAGCTACAGCCCTAGCCCTTGAGTCAGAGCCTTACTATATAACTCAGGCTCCCCTCCAGCCTGACATCCTTCTACCTCAGCCAAGATTCCAGGCATGCACCACCAGGCTACAATATAACTTTTTATTTTTGTTTACTTTTTATTTATTTTGAAACAAGATCTCATGTATTCCAGGGTAGTTTTGAACTCAATATGTAGGAGAAGATGACCTTGAAAAGAATTCGGATACTTTGGCCTCCATTTCTCCACTGCTGGGATTTAGGCTTACACCATACCTGGTTGATGCAGAAATGGGGCTCAAACCTAGAGCTCCTCACCTGTTAGGCAAACACTCTACTAACCGAACTGTGTTCCCAGCACCCTCAGCAAGAAGGTGTGAGGAGCTAGGGAAGTCACTCAAGCATGCAGCCCCTCAGGCTAGCCTGTGAGGGTCAGGCCTCACAGCATGCCTCCCCTTTTTCTTTCAGAAGAACGAATTTTGATGGCCAATGATAGAAAATTCAATGCTCTTTTTGACTATCCGGTAAGTCTCCCATCACTGACTCTTTCAGAAGTGGTTAGTGTTCTGTACAGTCTCCTTTTGAGGGGAAAGAAGAATTCATTGCTAATGTAGAAACTACAGCCTGAATTCCAACTTAAGCCCCTCTGTAATAAATGACACAATGAAAACTCGAAAGCCAAAAGTAACCCAACCCCTGACTCCGGAGAATGTGCCCCGTGTTCATGTGTGACTCCCCGCTAACTCTGGAGAATGTGCCCCGCGTTCATGGGTAACTCCCACGGGAGACATTCTGTATCTCACCCTGACATCAATGACAATGCATGCGTCTGGCTCCATTTGCTCGCTAGCGGTGTCCTTTCCCATTTATTGATGAGCCTTAACTCAGCCTCCTGTCGCTGAACGTTTAAAACGTCTGCAGCATTTGTCTGTGATAGATGGTCCTCAGTGAACTTCGTTATGTGTATCAGTTGGCTCATCTGTGCTTGTATATACTATGAGCTCTCTGGAAGTGAATTAACAAACAAACAAATAAACAAAAAATGACATTTCTCCAGCTTGCCTTCTGAAAAGATTATATCCACTTATATGTCTACCCACCATAGAAAACCACTCATTTCTTATTCCTGCCAAACCAATTTTGATTTTTGATTGATTGTTGTTCTGAGATGGGATCTTTTTTAGTGAAATTAATCATCTTTTTGTTAATTAGCCTTTCACATTTTTTTATTATTTCACATATCAATCCCAGTTCCCTCTCCCACCCTCCCATGCCCCTGACCCCCTTCCCATCCCATGCTGCCCCCACTCCACAGGGAGGGTGATGCCTTCCAGGAGGGATCAACAAAATCTGTCAAGTCATTTGGAGTAGGGACTAAGCCCTCCCTCCTGCTTCTAGGCTAAGGAAATATCCCTCCATGGGGAATGTGCTCCCAAAGTCCTTTCCTGTACTGGATACATCCTGGGTCTACTGTCAGAGGTCCCTTAGATTGCCCAGGCCTCCTAACTGAAACCCATGTTCAGGGTATCTGAGTCGGTCCAATGCTGGTTTCCCAGCTATCAGTCTGGGGTCCATGAGCTCCCCCTTGTTCAGGTCAGCTGTCTCTGTGGGTTTCTGTAGCCTGGTCTTGCCCCCATTTTATTACCACTCCCCCCTCTCTGCAACTGGATTCTAGGAGTTCGGCTCAGTGTCTGGCTGTGGGTGTCTGCTTCTGTTCCCATCAGCTACTAGATGAGGGCTCTATGATGGCAGAGAAGTTAGTTATCAATCTCATTATCAGGGAAGGGCATTTAAGGTAGCCTTTCCACTGTTGCTCAGATTGCTATCTGGGGTCATCCCCGTAGGTCTCTGGACCTTTCTCTATAGTCAGTTTTCTCTTCAAGATTGAGTCAGGAATAGACGAGAGCAAAAAAAAAAAAAAAAAAAAAAAAGGAGAGAGATACCATAATAATAGGTTTGAAGAGCCTTTTGCATTTTAAAAACTATGTATTAATGATTTTAGCCCAATTTCCTGTTTGATTTTTCATTTTTTCACTTAATTTATTTATGAAGTAATTCATAACATAGCAAATATATTATAAAGTCATGCTGTAGCACCCATCTTACTCCCTTATAGAGAGCCACTGTGGTTAGTTTCTCAGGGCTCATTAGTGCCTTCTTGTATCCATAAAGGAAATATGAATATATATTATTTTTTCTATATTTTTACATTATCTGGACCCTAATATTTTTCAGAGTCCTAATTTCATAATAGCTTTTCTATTTTTTTCTTTTTTTCAGTTATTTAGGATTTCCTCTTCAGATTTAGTTTTAAATGACCCTAGGGGTAATTTTCAGTCTTAGTCACAAACAATGCTTTTGTTTTCCTTCGTCTGACTTCGCTTTTGGAAGAAGGTCTTGCTGTGCAACCCCAGGCTGGCCTTGAACTCAACATTCTTCTCCCTATCGCCCCAAGTGCTAAAATTACAGGCATGTAGTATCACATCCACTTCAAACAGTGCTCTTACATGTTATTTTCTACATCTGTAGCTACATACACACACACATACACACACACACACACACACACACACACACACACACACACACACACATAACTCAAGTATATGAAAAAATACATAGCCATATATACTTGTGGTTCCTGCAGGATATTAATCTGAGTTCTGGATGATAACCATGTTCACAGTGTGGCAGTGGGAGCAGACTCCCCCTTTCTCTATATAGAAAACAAAGCCATGAGATACAGAAAGAGTAGCTTTGGATATCAGACAGACCTAAATTTGGTTATAGCTGTGCCACTTACCTTGAAACATGCAGTTGTTTAATTTCTCTGATTGTTAGTTCATTCATCTATAAAATGAATATAGTAACATTCCCATAGGTGATGGATATATGTTAAATACAATTATACAAATGTTAGTTCTCTTTTTCCATAACTGTTATCCTGTCTCATTTACATCTGTATCCATACATGCTACATGTTTAGTATACAGCCTACATTTAATAATTATACCCTGAATATCGAAGGAACAAACAGATCAACAAGTTTTGAACTAGCTTTCTGGCTCTTCTACTTATGTTTGCTTTTTGTTGTTATTGTTGTTTGTATTTTACCTATAGGACAACACCATCAAGACCTCAAAATATAGTTTGTTTAACTTCCTGCCCATAAACCTATTTGAACAGTTCCAGAGACTTGCAAATGCTTATTTCCTTGTTTTACTGGTCCTACAGGTATGGCCTGCTAAGGGATTTTACAGTGTTTTCTTATCTTCTCTGGGGTCAGACTATATATAATCAGTACCTACACTGGAAGATAATGCTCTTAATTTTGACATTGTCAAATGGATGACTTGGAGTCTTTGACCAGTTCCCTAGCATAGCAGAAGTCAGGGTTAATCAGTAGGAAGGAGACAAAACTATGTTGTCCTGTGGAGAGGGAGCTCCACAGTTTAGCTTTATCAGAAGAAAACACAGATTCTTCACCCCATCTCCAGCTATAATCCTATACCTCTTCCTCATCCCTGCCTCTGTGATAGGAAGTTGACACACAGGATAGGAAGAGAGCCAGCACAGGGAAGGGAATACATGTAGCATAGCCCCATATTGAGATAGGAGGACAGATCATTTCACTCTCCTTTATAATGAAAATGTGAGTGGGTACATGGTTTTCCCATGCCCACTGATTTCAAATCATTTTAGTTTTATGTATGTGTATGGGTGTTTGCCTACATGTATGTTTATGTGCCATATGCATGTCTGGTACACACAAAAGAGGACACCAGAACCCCTAGAATAGGAATCATAGATAGCTGGAGCTGGGAATTGAACCTGGGTCCTCTGGAAGAGCATCCAGTGCTTTGACCACAGAGCCATCTCTCTGGCATTGCCATGGAAACTCTAAACATTATACCTTCCATTACCTTTCATTATTGGAGAAGAAATGACTCTTTCCAGTTAGAACTAAGCCAGAGATACTCACAACACAAAGGGGCAACTTGCAGCCTTTTCTTCACATTCTGGGAAATGTTTACTTGGATCTGGGGATACAGGAAGTTTGTAACAGTGAAGAGTAACTATGGCCTTTGGGTTTATAACAGTAAACCCAGAGAGGTGAAAGTGATGGTGGGGGCAAGACGTTTGGGGAAGTGTATTGTTCTTTAGGATTCCTGACCTAAGATCTCTATGTCCTTCTCAAAGCTGATTCCTCAGATCTCCTCCCTGGTATGGTACACAACTGTGATACCCCTGATCGTGGTACTGTCCATAACAGGAGTGAAGGATGCCATCGATGATGTGGTAAAGTAGCCTCCTGGGCTTCCCTCACTCTGCCTAGTAATTGGGCTGTGGGCAAGAAGGCGTCCCAGAGCTACCTTGTGTCAAGAAATGCTAAACAGAGATATGTTTCTCCTACTTGCTTCCATGTCTCTCCCAGAGGCTATATCATGCCCACAAGCCCACGACTCTGCTTGGCCAGAAAGGGCAAGGCAGGCTTTTTTTATGCTCCACCAGTTCTAGCTGCTCCTCCAGACTCCTTCCCTCTATCCTCAGTAACCCAATCCCTGGCCCCTTTAGATTTGTCTGGCTTTGTCTACATCTTTCTTCATCTGGCTCTCCTCCACTCCGTATCACTTCCCCCTTCCTCTCTGTCCCCTGTTCCTTCTCTCCCTCCACATGTCTCTTCTCCCCAGTGTTCTGTGTTTCCCTTTCCAAATGCTACTTCTGTTCGGCATGCACAGCTAGGAGCACTTTGGTTTTAGAAAGCGCTGTGGCATGATCAAAGACCCACTCTTTTCCTGGCCTTGGAAAGAGAAACTGTCCTGTCACAGCCAAGGCTAATTGGAAGGGGGTCAGCCTGGACCCAAACCCTACAGGTGGTGTTGGGGAAGCTGTCCTGGCAGTGTCTGCAAAGAGGCCTGAGTTTGTCATGATAGATTATGTACCAAAGTTTAAGAATATGACATTTCCTACATTTTTAACTCTGTAAAATACAAGCTTAACAGGTGCAATGGTTTAAATTTCAGTCACAACCTAGATAAACAGCCATGTAAACTCATTTTAGCTTGGAACCACACACATACCTCATTCTAGCAAGAACTGAAAACTCAACTTGCCAATGTAGGACAACCCAGCCACTTCTGGTTCAGAACTCAGTTTCTTTAGAATAATTGTTGGGAGAACCTTGAATCATGGAAAACTGGGTGCTCTGCCTGCCACTTCCTAGTCCTGCCCTTCTGCAGGAAGAACTCCACTTGGAAGGCGGCTGTTCTCGTGAATCCTGTCTCTGGGGTATCGGCCCCTTCACTCCCCCATCTGCTGTAGATGCTTCTGTGTTGCCCGTGGTTCTTTGTGCAGCATGTGGGACTCCCCAGTGCTGTTGGGGGCATGCGCCCTGTCCTCAGCTTTTGTTCTCAAGCTTCTAGGCTTTAGGGTCATTGGTTTGGTTTGGTTTTTGTATTTGTATTTTTTTTTTTCACAAACATTGTGTCTCTTTTCCCTGAGTTCTTTTTATACCTTCCTTCCAAGCTTCTTTTGAACATTAGCCTCTTAGCCTGGTTTTAATGGTACTGGGGCTTTGGGATGTGGGAGAGGGGAATCACAAACAAGAACCACATTGGGTACTATTTTGAAATTTTTAAATTGTGCATGCAGTTTTCTATATGTCTGTTTCCTGAACATTTTCTGTGTGATTTTAGAAAAGACACCAAAGTGACAAGCAAGTCAACAACCGCTCTGTTTTGGTGCTGGTGAGCGGCAGGTATGTTCTCTTAGGAAAGCCAGTTTAGGTGAGACAAGTCCAGCAAGAGGTCAGCATTGCTACAGTTTGATGTGGTTGTTACTTTTGAAATGTAGTTCACTGGCAGTGAAAGGAGCCTCATGCTAAACTTAAAAGGATCTGTTTCTATTTCATTGAAATTTTCTTTTTGAGGTACTGGGGATCAAACCCAAGACCTCTTATGCTAGGAAAGTGCTCTAAGAATTTGCATGTAGATATGATCTAGCAGACCCTGAACTTGCCAAACTAATTGAGACGTCTCTGGGCTTCTTTCCTATGCAATAGAAATAATATTCTCTGTCTTGGAAGATGCCTGAGAAAACAAAAGTGAAAAAATAAATATATCCAAGCAGTTGACAAATCATAGCATGAAATTACTGTGCGGGTGATTATGATCAGAGTGGTCGGTTAGCCTCGAGACTCCTGCCTTTAGGAAGTAAGTGGTTCTGACATGGTTCCCTGGCTTAGTCCGCTGGAGCCTTTGTTGGTGTGGTCAGTGCAGACCACAAACACTGCTTGTGCTGACTCCGTGGCTGTTGTTTGATGCTAAGAGTGGACTAAGGCAGACATGTTCCTACAGAAGGCAAAATGTGAAAACGATTCTAAGAGCCATGGCAAGCTCCAAGAGTCACATCTGACAAAGGGGATTAAGGGACACGTTCCAGGGGAGATTCCCTCTGTAACAGATACTACAGAGGGGAAGCACAGGAGGAGTTGGAAGGAAAGGGGCACGATCCCTGTGAGCAGAAACATGATGAAAGGAACCACCAACCTGACAGGATCAAGACTGCAGTCCAGCCTTTCTCACCGTGGCCTTGACGAGTACTAAACCCGCAGTTAACATCAGATCATCCAGCTGTCCATGCTTGGGGGCATCTGACCCCTCTGTTTATTGTGTTGCTGACTCTTAGTCACAGTGGATCGTTTCCCCTAGAGTTTTAAATGGCTGAGAGAGCTCTGGAGATGCCAACAGGTGATTTATTATTAAAAAACAAAAGGGGTAACATGGGTTTAAAAAGACAAAGCTGGGCGTATTAGAAGCTGAGCAAGCTGGCGAATTGCTGACCAAATAAATTCAGTCAGATGAACTCCTCACAAGGTTGTACAAGATTTCTGGAGAAGAGTTTGTCACAGAGAGAATTTGGGAGTTATCCAGAGGCCCTGGTTAAACTTTATAACCAGTCGATTTCCACTTAGATATAGGGGAAGCTAATCACCAAATAGCTTCTTTCTAGAAAGCCTCTGGAAGGGAAGCTAGGAGAGGAGGGTCTGATGCCAGTTCAGGAGAGACAACCTCTGGTTAGCAGGCCTTGACTTTTGTTTTGTTGGTTTTGGGTGTTTTTTGTTTTTCAGACAGAGTTTCACTCTATAGTCAGGCTGTCCTAGAACTTACTCAGTAACCCTAACAAGGCTCCAATCCATGATAGAATACATTTTAGCTATTTAATAAAAGAAGGAGCTACATCTATATATGTCCTCTAAGGTATGAAGGTATGTTATTGAATGAAAAATGGAGACAGTAAAGTATCTACTGTTTAACTTTTTTTTAAGACAAGGTCTCACTGTAACCCTAGCTGGCCTGGAACTCACACAAATCCTCCTGCCTCTGCCTCCCGCATCTGGGATTTAAAACCTTGCTGTGTAGCTTTGAAGTGTATGTGTTTTAGAAGATTCTGTGAATTGATATTTTCTAGGAAAGGTTTTGGTTTCTCTGCTTTTGTTTTTGTTTGGGTTTTCAAGATAGGGCTTCTCTGTGTAGCCTTAGCTATCCTGGGATTCACTCTGTAGACCAGGCTGGCCTTGAACTGGAAGAGATCCTCCTGCCTGCTTTTGCCTCCCGAGTGATGGGATTAAAGGCGTGCCCCACACCTGGCTTCTAGGAATTTTTTTTTTTAAATATAACGGCTGTCATTGAAGAACAAATCTGGGGAAAGAGACTTGTCACAAGAAACAGCTTGCTCTGCCTGCCCAGAGCATTCAGCCCAAGGCACGTGGCCCTTCTGAGCGGAGTCTTCATTATCTTGGCCTTTCCTGTTTCTTTTGCTTCATTTTCTCTCATCAAAGCAGAACACTGGGGAACTCTCAGAGCAGAAATTCAAGACCCATTTTCTTACAGGTTTGAGGAGAACAAATGGATGAATGTTCAAGTGGGAGATATAATAAAACTAGAAAATGACTGCCCTGTTACAGTGAGTATCTCCTCTGGCCATGACTTTTTCCTTTCTCTCCCTGAGCCCTGTGGCACTTTTCCCCCACCCCTCTTGGCAACCTTCAGCTGCCTTGCTTTGCACTGGAGTCACCAGTCCTCTGCCAAGAAGCTTGTTTTTGTCCATCTCTCGTCATAGCTCCAGGTAAAATGGAGCGGTCTTGAGAGCAGTGATGGGTCACAGATAATGAGAGCAACCAAGAGCCTGCAAAGCTCTTAGTGTGGGCATCTGTGCCTGAGGGGCTGCTTTCCATCACACTGTAAGGCTGGGCCCAGCCTCCTGCTTCCCTCTTCTCTGACTTCTCTGATTACAGGCAGATGTACTGTTACTCTCTAGCAGTGAGCCGTACGGTCTGACATACATTGAAACAGCAGACCTCGATGGGTGAGTATTTTCCCCTGATTCTCATTAAGAAAATTTAGCCACTTAGTGGGCGAGCATGATGCAGGGAACTAGTTTTATTCTCAGGTGAAAGTAGTAGTTGATGTGCCAGGAAATGAAAGATACGCAAGTGAGAAAAGACAAGAAGCCACGGCCTTGGAACCCTCAAATCTAAGTCTGAGCCCTGGGCAGTAATAATGAGCATTCATCAGATACAGGGTTGGGGAAAATAAACTCAAAATTCTCTATCTCTAAACTGGGGCCAGTCTGCCCTCCCTGTCCTGTCAGTGAGTTCAATGCCTTGTCCTTAAGAATTGCAGACTGAAAATATTTGAAAAAAGTTCCTCTGTACTGAACATGCACAGATTTTTTTTTTCTCATTAGTATTTCTTGAAAATAAGATAGAACAGGTATTTACATAGCACTTACATTGTATGAAGAGAGTGCTTATTGGTTATAAATGATGGACCATTTTATAAAAGATAGCTGAGCATTGATGGATGTAGGATGTGGGGTCCTAGAACCAATTGCTGGAAGTCAGTGAGGGGCAGCTAAATTCCATGATATTGATTAGTGTGAAAGACAGTCATATGATTGCAAATTTTCAGAATGGGGTTACAGTATTCCTAGAAGGAAATCTGAACAAGGAAGTAATTAGTAATTATGCTCTGAAAAGAATTTAAAGTGGACCTTATGTCCTCACAGATGCTAAGGTCTTAACTTGGGAAGATGGAGGCCATTTCAGAGATTTGTCTCATGAGTTTTCTATCAGTCTGCATTGTGCCTGTGATGGCCATTCTTGTTTGTCAACTTGGCAACATCTGGAATTAGCTAAAGCTGAAGCAGCTGGGTACCCTCATAAGGGAGAGGGTTTTTCTTAATTAAATCATTTGAGGAAGGAAGGGCAACCTTTTCTCTGAGCCACACCTGGTAGCACCCTATATAAAGGACATGGAAGAAGGAATCGTCCACTCTTTGTCTGCTTGCCCTCATTCTCAAATCACTGGCATTAGAGCCTACTTCTTTGGGACTCCAGTGTATACTGAAGACCAGCTGACACAGCCAGTTTTATGGACTGAAAGGCTACTAGATTCTTGAACTTTTTCTTGGGAGACAGTCATTGTTGGATTAGTTGGACCACAGCTTGTAAGCCACTCTAAGATATCAGCTTTTTATATATACATATGTAGCATTGGTTTTCTGGCCCCACTAGGTCCCACCACCTTTGAGCCACAAACACACAGGCACTTTATTAATTATGAAACTGTTAGCTGGTGGCTTGAACTTCTTATTGGCTAGCTAGCTCTGTCTTAATTATTAACCCATAACTACTAATCTATGTATTTCTACATGGTCTCATCTTACCAGAGAATGCCCGACTCACACCCTCTCTTTCTGGGATCATATGACAACTCCTCTCTGACTACACTTCCCAGAATTCTCCTTGTCTGGTAGCCCCGCCTATCCTTCCTGCCTGGCCACTAGCCAAACAATGCTTTATTGGTTTACCAATAAGAGAAACATATGTACAGAAGACATCCCTATCATACGTAGATTCATTCTGCTAGTTCTGTTCCTCTAAAGAACCCCGAATAATACAGATTTGGGTACCAGAAATGGTTCTAGAGCAGTGGTTCTCAACATTCCTAATGCTGTGACCCTTAATACAGTTCTTCATGTTGTGACTCCCAACCATAAAATTATTTTTATTGCTACTTTATGATGTAAATATCTGTGTTTTCCAATGGCCTTAGGTGACCTCTGAGAATGGACCTCCAAAGAGGTCATGACCCACAGGTTGAGAACCACTATTTTAGAGCAAAAGAAATATAAGGATGGGTTTTTAAGTTTCTGGGATAGGCTTTCCAACTTGCTGACACATACAGTTACTAAAGATTCCCCTGTAGTATTGGGGAATGTTGAAAGCCCATGGTTCGAAATATTTAAAGGCTTGCTGCATGGAATAAAAAAATTCAGTGACTCTATATATAAAAATTTTGATGATTTGTGAGAAAATAAGGGGAATTATGCTACTGATTGTATCTAGCATTTCTGGATAAATTGAAAACAGAAAAGAATGGACTTATGGATAAAATCAACCAACTTCTCGTACCTCAAGACACAGTGGCAAAGGGAAAGAATGCACCCAGTAAAACAACTGACAGCTCCAGATGTGCATAAATGGTCTAAACGGTTCTGAGTGTGTCCTGGAGGACAGTCTTCTCTCTAGTAACCAGAGAGCTCAAGCTGCAGAAAATCAGATCAAAGGCCCCATTATTAGGTTAACTGAATCACTACAAAAATTTAAATCCCAACCTCAGATGGATGGTTGGGTTAAAGTGAAGGGATTTGTTGGTAAGTTGGGATCCTTTAACTTGGGATAAAATTGTGGGAAGACCCTACTGAGGCTATAGACTTTGAACTCTCAGATTCTGAAGGGTTTATCTGACCTAAGGAAGCAGTCTTTCCACCCTTAGCAGAGGATGTATCCCCATCTCAGCCTTCTGGGGAAATTAATACTTCATTGACTGCCAAATCAAAAGTAACTTTCCCTGAAGGAGACTCCAGGCAAGATAATCCCAAGGTCCCTCAGGGCTCTGCAATATCTCTAGACCTATAACCAGATGTAATTTCAAGTAGAAATCTGGAGAGTAATATGTATGACAATGGGTTTTTAAGAGTATGGGATAACATGGGAAAAATATAAAACTAGATCAGGCTGAGCTTATTGAGACTGGTCCACTGGAAGTCTAGGTTTAATATGGAAGCTTGCACATTTTTTAAAAAAAAGGTGTTAAAAGTTTGTTTTAATGTTTGGCCAAAGCATTTATCAAAAGATGACCTACTGAAGAGGAGTAGGAGATGCCTGATATCCCTTGGCTTAGTGTTGATGAAGGCATTTTAAGGCTCAGGAAGATTCCAGTGCTAGAGCAGGTGTGCTGTGTAAAACCTAATCCTCCACAATGGGAAGGTCCAGAAGACATGCCCTTCACTAATCCTGTAAGGTGCTCAGCATGGTAGCACATGGTTTTAATAGCACTCAGGAGGCAGAAGCAGGCAGATCTCTGTGAGTTTGAGTCCAACCTGGTCTATAGGTGAGTTCTAGACATTCAGGGCTATGTAGAGATATCTTGTCTCAAACAAAATAAAATACATTGGTGGGTACATCACAGAGGCCAGCACAATGACATGGGGAGCTATTCTATAGGCTCAAGATGCTATGTTACAGCATTCTTAGCTCTTGGATTAGCAGAAGCTAGTGTTCTGATAAGACAATAGCTTCTAAGAGGTTTTTTTTTTTTTTTTTTAAAACTATTCTTACAAGTGTTGGTTGATACAGAGTGGGGCAAAGCATGAGTATTCCAGAAGCTGAAACTAGCCTGAGATAAAATAATTAGCCCCAGAACCTACAAAATTCTGATCTCACCATAATATGGAAATTCCATTTGTTCCAACAGTCTCTGCAGATACAGAAGCTTTTTGTACACAGCCAGACACAGCTTCCATTCAGGAGTTTTCATTCACAACACAGGATGGTGAGAGTGGTAGAGGTACATTTGAAGAGCTTTCCCTTGTGCCAGATCTTAGGATGCTGCTGCTCAGTTGGATGAATTAAATGCAGTGGTTTGATTGGGCCCCAGGGAAGCAGGGGCCAGGTGACAGCACTGAATCACCAAAGGCAAAATGACAGTAGTTACTGAAAAGGGCACATGAAACAAAGAAATGTCCATGGCAGACTGACCCATAATGGGCAGAATGGGCAAATAATTTCCGTGGAGGCATGACTCCTATGGACCCATGGTACCATAAAACCAATCATGGTGATTCCAGGCATGAAATATATAAGAAGCTGACTGTATTTTTGTTTGATTTGTGTGAGCAGAAAAAATTCTTAAACAAATGAAGGGTTTGCATTAAGGGACTGCATTAGATTGTGGCAAGCAAAGATCTCAGCCTTTAAACCAATGTCCAGACGTGGGCCAGTTTGCAGACCCAGAGCCCGTTGGATGAAAGTAGTTGTCCCTGAGGAAGGACTTTGATAAAGTACCTAAGAGCTTTACTGCTAGCGTTTCCCAGTCCTTCCCCAGAGGGACCTGCAGCCTTTTACAAGGGTAACTGTACACTGGGGGAAACAATCAGACTTTCCAGGATCTATTGGACACTGGTTCTGAATTGATGGTGATTCTTGGAGACCTCAAGAACATCATCCAGTTAGAGGAGGGGCTTGTGGATTCCAGGTGGTTAATGGAGATTCGGCTGAAGTTCAACTCACAGTGGGAACATAGGGTCCCCCAAATCATCCTGTGCTTATTTTCCCAGTCCCAGAATGTACAATAGGGATAATATATTTAGAAGTTGGCATGATTTTCACATGGTTCTGTGACATGTGGAGTGAAGGTCTTTATGGTGGGAAAGAATAAACGGAAGTCATTAGGTTTGCCTCTGCTAGGAAAATAGTGAATCAAAGCAGTATCACATCCCTGGGGGAACTGTAAAAATTATTGCCCCCATCAAGGACTTGAAAGATGCAAGGTGGTGGTTCCCACTATAGTGCTCCTATGTGGCCAGGGCAGAACACAGCTGGACCATAGAGAATGACAATTGACTATCAAAAACTCAACCAAGTACTGACTCCAATTGCAGCTGCTGCACCAGATGTGGTTTCCTCACTTGAGCAGATTAAAACATTTCCTGCTGCATGTTGTGTGCAGCTATTGATCTAGCAGAAGCCCTTTCCTTTGTACCTGTCCATAAAACCACAAGAAGACATACGCACATCAGAGGACGGGAAATAAATCCAACCACAATTCAAGGGTCTTCTACCTCAGTGAAATTCTTAGGAGTCCAGTGGTGTGGGGCATGCAGAGGTATTCCTTCTAAGGTGAGGGAAGGTTATTGAACCTGGCCCTCCCACCTCCAAGAAAGAAGCACAACATTTAGTGGGCCTATTTGGATTCTGGAGCACATTCCCTACCTGGGTCACTCTGACCCATATACTAAGT